TTTCAGAAACTGTTGTGTTTCTGGAGCCTCGGCTAAAACGATTTGTTAGCAGCTGTTATGAGAAAATTATTTGTTTCTTTTTGTTTTTGAAGCCAGTTTAAATTTTTTAAGTTTAGTTTTACCTCATTAATTTTGTACTTATATCTGTTCAAATACAGTTATTAATTACAAGAAATTTGTTTGCTACCGTGCATTTTATAGTAATATATCAGTGAATACAATACATGACGAAATAACAGTAAAGACAACAACGTTATTTATACCAGCGATAAAGTTATGTAAACAACGGGAACGCAATTCTAGTGCGCTATGCCGTCAGATCAGCCGCAGGGGGCACTTATCTGCTGACATTTGAGTATCTTTCCACAACAGGGATTCTCAGAGAAATGTGCTATAAACAACATAGATAAGTTCACTGCGAATTAACGTTACACGTCGTTTACAATCAGAATTTTTATTATGTAGTTATATACAGTGAGCACAGAGTTTTCACGCGTTAGAATGATTATAGATCAGTTAATCTTAACGACCATCAAGTAACTATTTATTGTTTATTTATCTCTTTAAATAAAAATAGTCTAATTATAGCTAGTCTCCCTAAAACTCAAAAATGTTTTGTGTTTGAGTGGGTCCTTAGATGGTTTAGAAGCACAATTGTATCCGGTAAATGGCGCTGTTGTCAAGATCCTGAAATCATCCGCGTGAAGAAGGCGAGGTGGGTCGCTATTACGATATAAAAAAGAGTTCGGAAAAACTACAATAGATAAGTGAAAAAAGGTTCACAAGTGACAACTGCCGACTTGGTAAACATTCAAAAAGTCGATGACGCAGATGGCTCACACCGTGTTTTGTAGCATTCCTTCATTCATTCATTCCATCCAGTTAAATATGTTTAATGGTGGATTTGGGAAGGACTGTAATGAAATACACGACAATGATAAGAAATAACTAAGAGTAGCGTCATCGCATTGTATTTATCCAACGCAAAGCGGCTCGAATCTTCGACGACCGACACTTTAAAAAACGTGAATACTTTGAAAAACAATAAAAAGTACTGTAAGGTTCAAGTTGTATTTTTTTGGTCAAACGACTATACTTAAGGCATACCTCGTAGCAGTAGTAGTGCTATTAGTATATATTACAACTTTTTCCCAAAAATAGAAGTGTACCAAGATATCATATAAATGATTCAATAATCAAAGAAAGATTTTTCATTAAAAAGCATTTACGCTCCAGGCTCACTATCAATAGGTCATTGCTTTATATTATTTATTATTATGTTAATAAAAATAATATATTACCTATCTTTATCAAATGTTGTGTCACATGATGCAACAATAATCTTCCTCGGCTAGATTTTTTAAGAGCTTTTTTTATTCCATGCTGATGATGACTGCTATGCGCTCCTTTTTCCGACATGGTTTTAAAATATATTATTTTATTGTATGTAGTTAACTAAAAGCTTATTTTAGTTGGACAATAATATAACACTTTACATGTGGTGACAACTATACATGTGACAACTACCTATACATGTGGTGGTCGTGTGTCGTTGAGATTAGATGATATTCTTTGATTATATCCCTGATATTATTACACAGCCAGTACAGTACAGGGGTACGGATTTTGCTTTTGCCTTTTTTTACGAATAAATTGCGGAAATGCTTTTGTTGCGTTTGTTAGTTTACGTTACGCCTATGGTGCAAAATTTGATTACGGATATTACAATATTTTGATAGTATGAATGCTTTTAATATCCGTCTTGAAGGACCAATTACGTAAATTTTATAATATTTGAGATATTTCAGCAATATTTTCGCAATGTTTGTTGGAATCATTAATTCGTTCGCATCATCGTCTATGTCATATAAATCTTAACCTATATAAATCTTATTAGGGAGATAATTCGATGACGTAGGTTTCTAAGTAGGTCCATTTACAAGTGTAAGACGATAACATTTTGGTTCGCTTTGACGTCAAACGTACGAAAATTATTGTTTAATCAAACAGTCGTTTTTACGCGTAAGGAATAAGTGCGAAAGAGAATTGTTTTTTTTTTTATGTCGTAGTTACACATTATAACAGTGTTACAGTAAAGTAGTTGTTTTGTTTCTTTATCGTGTGATTATTGTGTTATTGGCATTAAAATCTGCTTTGGTTACTTGTCGTGCAATATAATCGCTGGTCGGGGTTGACGACGTTTAGTCTTTGCCCTGCCTTAGGTCGCGTGTTGACTATCAATCGTTTGGATAGTTTAATAATAGAGTTACGCGTTAGTGATTTTGTATTCTATTATAAATTCCAAGTTTAAATATATCTATAGTTAAAAGCATAATCTTTTATAAGTTATTGGCCGGTGATAAAGGTAATTACTAATTAGTAATACTTTATTTTTAACGCTTCGAGTTATGCTTTCGTAAACGCTTTTATATTTAGATCAAAGAGCTTTTAATAGACGTCATTGAAACAATTTTATGAATAAATGTACTATAATTTCCACGTTACTCTATACTCTATCTAATTGCAATACAATGTAAGACCTTTATCATAGTTCTGTGAATCAAATAATTCTGCCTGTAACTAGCATTATTTGTGTACAAATGTACCCATTGTAAACAATGAAATTGTTTGAATATAAAACAAGCGTTCTGTACTATTAAGTAAGCGTACCTATGTATTACGGAAGTAGACAATAAATTTTTTATGCTGAATAGCGATTTCACTTTTTCTTTTTATTATTATTAACACATTAGTTATTTTTTTCTTTTGAGGTGATTTAATGCCAGTTGCATGACTGTTAAGTATAGACTAATGATGTTTACATTTTCAATTTAGTACTAAGGGAGCTTTGCTTATGCGTTTATATGGTTTTTTAATAGAGCGTTAAACAAGCACACAAAATACCTGATCTTTGCTAAACAGTGTGGCCCTCAGATAACAAATTACCCTCAATAAAGTATAAAAACGATAGATTATTTGGGGTGTAAGCAATGTAACTGTTTCACACCGAGAATACAGTACAACCTCATTATAGGAAATCATAAGAAAACTAAAATCTACAGACTAGAAATAGGGAGCGGCCTTAACATTGTGAAGGTATTGGATCCGTGTTCACCGACACTGAATAGCGTATTGAGTATTGGAGAATTTCTACCGATTGGATGGATACCTTAGAAATGTAATCATGGATTAATAAAGGCTGAAAGAGAAACAGAAAAAGATTAGATCCACTGTCATCTCTATGAATTAAGATGGAGTAGAATTACTTATTGTCAGTTTAACTGAAAGTGTTTAGATGTGATACTCTAACGATTGTATTCTGTGATGTTATCCATCTTCGGTGAAAGCCATTCATTTTGTCAGCTTATTGTGCTACATAACTCTTAGGTTTAAAGCATCAAGATGATTAAACTATCATCATTAGCTCTTCACAAGTTCACTTCTAAACATATTCCTCCTCCAGGAGCACACATATGCCACAAAGACGGTTCTTTTCTGGGTCCGTCTACTGCCTCGTCGGTCTAGTGGTCGTAGGTAACCGTGATTGCTGATCATGAGGTCCCGGATTCGAATCCCGGGTCGGCCAAAGTCAGTAATTGAGTTGTTCTGTCATGAAAATATCAGTAGGTACTTACACGTGGTAGAGCCATGCTGCAGTTCTATTAGTAGTGACAGGTATATAATCGAAGTTTGTAGTATAGTTATAGCAGGAATGGGTCGGCTCGACCGACCGGAAGGACCACGTTCTCACAGAATACCAGCGTAAAATAGTAGCTTAATGCTGCTGTGTTACGTATGGTAAGTGTAGAGATCCGGAGACCCTTTTTATTGGAAACGAGGCATTTCATCTTAGTCCTCACGGATGACAACGCATCTGCATTTTGATTAGTAATCGAGGATCGATGTAGATGTCTATGGGCCACAGCAACCACTTACCATCAGGTGGACTGTGTGCTCGTTTGTCACCGTATCCTATAAAAAAAGGAAGCACGGAGTCAGGCAGTAGGCGGTGTTTCACATCGTGCCTCGGAAGTACGTAAAGCCGTTGGTCCTGCGCCTGATTTCTGCGTCGTGTAGTGTAGGTTTACCGTCCCATCGGGCTATAATAGTGAGAGACAAGGCTTTATAATCATGACCGTTACAGATGACTAGTCTACGTTAAGATTGACCACTTCGACCGAAATTCGGTTTGGAGCACATTATAACTAGGTCCTGATCCACGTGGATCCATCGATTTCTTGCATATATTACCAGGTTGTCACTCCATCCCGTGGAAAGCCTTCTTTTTGTTGTTAGTTGTTCTTGTGTTGTTAATTGTAAACATGATTGTAAGCTATTATTGAAAAAAAAAAATAGTCCCGCTGGGTTTCTTGCTGGTTCTTCCCAGGACAGAGGTTTTTTTTTGCGAACCAGTGGTAAATGAAAAAAGTGACTCAATAAGTATTGTTATAATCTATATTGAATAAAAAAGTTTCTGTTTCTGTTTCTACCCTCTTACATTTTGTTTATCGGTACGAGGCTGCCCCTCGAGAATTTTTCTTCACTTTAGGTTGGCAATTCTTTGAGGTGTATACAGGGTTATTCTTCAAAGAGTAGCCAAATTTTAAGCTTCAGTTCAAATATATAAATAATGACATACCGTTTTGCAGTTTTTGAAAATATGAGTAAATATAAGGCTCTTCTATTTTTATTTGAAATTATCCCAAAATGAATGTGATTTATGGCCAATAACGTTTTTGCCTACCGATCGACTCTTACGAATGTGTGCGTGCGCAGTAAAGTTAGTTAAACTAATGCATTACCACGCATTTTGAATTTTAAAGGATAAAAAGAACAGAATGCTTGAGATTTTTTTCAATTAACTTTTCTTCAGCATTTGCCTATATTACTTATTTATAACCTTCGCTGCAATTTTGACCAGTTATTATAAAATACCATGTATAATTAAATATAAAAATATGTTGTTTATACAATCTAAACTTGTCTATTCCAGATCCAACATGGACGGTCCCGCAGGACCAACACCATGTAAGTTAAGAAATGGCAGAAACGAGACGCAAGACGACTTAACTACACCCATAGAAAGGCTCTGTACAAATGACACAAGCAATGACAGCTTTCAAACGAATTGTCAATGTGAGAAGATACAAAGTGAAGTGAAAATAAGAAGCAAGAGGTACGGCAGAGGGGCTGTGGAGTCAGGTAAATTCAATAATTTATAATTTTCTATTTATTATGGATACTAATAATTTAAAAAAGTATTCTATAATATCATTAACAATATTGCCAATAACTACTCAGAATAGGCTTGGATGATTGTTTTAGAAATTTTAGCGAAACAAATTTTTTTTTTTTTTAATTTAATTTAACCCCCCACCCCCCCCCCCCCCCCCCCCCCCCCCCCCGGGCTGCCAAAAAACAAGGAAAAATAATTTATACACTAGTCGAAAGGCGGATTCAAACCTTTACTTTAAGCTTTGCGTATGTACTCTGTAGCAGCTGAGTACTGTCGCTGAATTTAAATTATAGGGATTGACGCTATAGATCAATTTATTTAATACAAATGTCATAAAACAAGTCAATGCAAGCACATCCTCACAAGACCAATGCTCTTGACGTAGGATAGGCAATAAAATTGAATGATCTAACCATAGAATACTATAATATATCTATAATAGAACGGGGGATTGGGCGGAGCCCGCGTAGTCACTAACAAGTCACTAACATGTCAATTCACACCTATAAATGTCAACACAATCAATCGTTTCCGATTTTCGTGTCAAGCGTCGCTGCATGCAAATTATTTAAAAAATGGCAAATTGTGCAATAATTACGTGTCGAAAGAACAGCGGGAAATGGAATTTAAATAAAGGAGACATATCCTACAACCAGTAAGTCGAAATAATTTAAGTATTTTAAATTTTGTGAATATTAGAAACAAAAAATAAAGAAATATTGATGTGTCAAAAACATTAATCAAGAGTCTAAAATGTGTAAATTCGCTAAGTCTGTCAATACAGCGAATCGGGTTTGTAGTAGTGATAAATGATATTACGACGTACACAGTTTTTTCGAAAAAAATAAATTTTTAAGCCTTTTTCAGAGTCCACTGCTGAACAACTCACTTAGCGGTCAGCCGCCGTAGAGTCAATATCACCTGAAGATGCCTCGTGTAGAGGCGAAACACGTGTCGTATTGTCGTCGATGGTGTGTCTTTCCTAGAGTAGTGGTGTTGGAAGTAGTGGTGCTGGGATTGTTGGTGACGGGATTAGTGCAAGCAATTGAGGGAGGGCGGGAGGTGCTCCTCAAACTAGGTAAGACACATCATTTTATATAATTTAGCGGATGGTTGCAAAATAACTAATAATATCATTTATTATAATGGATTTCCGCAAAGTAACGCCTGATTCTATCAATTATTGTTCAACAAAGTTTGGACTTCAGACACGAGTTTGTCCCAGTACTCTGCGACGTTTTCCCGAGAAATATTGGCACGGCCGGTGTATAAAGCATCACCAGTGCTGTCGTCTGCATAGCAATGAATGTTACTGGTTTGCAACATGTCATTGATATGCAGAAGAAACAGCGTTGGTCACGCAGCCTTGTGGAACACCAGCGTTAATGGGCTTATAATCGGAGCATGCACCGTCTATTACGACCTTGATGCTCCGATCAGCAAGAAAACTGGTGATCTAATTGCACAATTTCTCGGGAAACCCATAGGAAAAAGCCGATCGAAGGCCTTTGTTATGTCCAAACTAACGGCCAACGCCTTGGACTCTACTGCATCCGCCCATTTATGAGTTAGGTAACCCAAAAGATCACCAGCCGAGCGACCGCGACGGAAACCGTACTGGCGGTCACTAATCAGCTGGTGATCTTCAAGGTACCGCATGAGCTGGCTGTTAATAATGGATTCCATTATTTTAGAGAACAAGGAGGTAATGGCGATAGGCCTATAATTGGACGGATTAGGGCGGTTACCTTTTTTAGGGATCGGGTGCACGAGGGCTGTCTTCCATGATTTCAGAACTACGCTGAGGGAGTAGGAGTACCGGAAAAGAAGCGTTAAAACCGGTGCCAACTCCGGCGCACACGTCTTCAGCACAATAGGAGAGACGCCATCCGGCACACTCGACTTGTTGACGCCCAGGGAGAGGAGTGTTCTACGCACTGAGCGTTGGGTAAACAGGACATCCTGCATGGAGCACTTAATCCGCGGGATGGTCGGCGGTGTGTTCCCTCCGTCATTAAGAGTCGAGTTGGACGCAAAGAGAGTGCCCAACAGATCGGCTTTGTCCTTTGCGGCATGGGCCAGTGAGTCGTCCTCCTTGTGCAGAGATGGGAGAGATGGCTGATAGAAGTTCCCTTGGACAGCCTTTGCGAGAGACCAGAATGCACGTGTTCCCGTAGGAAGACGAACTAGTTTCTCGCCAATTCTGCCGATTTGCTCTGACTTTGCCTTGATAATGACACTTGAAGGACCTGGAGGCAGAATTGTACTTCTTTTTAAGGGCGCTGGTATTTGCATCCCGAGATATCGATGCGCGAGCCCATGCCTGGTAGCACTTCTGCTTATGACGTAGTGCAATTTTGCAGGAGTGATCAAACCAAGGCTGGGTTCTGCCTCCGATAGGTACCACAGATGATGGAATAAAAAGTTCCATTCTCTGTAGACAACATCAGCGACAGAATCAGCAATAACGCTGGGATCATCTTGCGAGAAGCAACCCCGCCCCCAAGGGTAGGATGCAAAAAAAAGATCGCATCCCGTCCCAGTCTGTTGACCTATATTCCCAAACACGGCGGCAACCTGCAGTGCGCAACCGCGATCAGAGCGTGAGTGGCACCGTACTTCGGATCAGACAATGGTCCGAGGAGTCAAGAGGGGCATCGACGGAGACCTGATATCCGTCCTGATGAGAGGTTAGCAGAAGGTCCAACAGGGAAGGTACATGATCTTCCACATCTGGGATCCGCGTGGGCGAGGTCACCAGTTGTGTCAGACCTTATGCCAAAGCAAAGTCGTAAACAGATCTACCCGCGTGATCGGTTAAACCAGAACCAACGACGACATATCGTCGTATCTTTAGTAGTTGTTAGTCATTAGAGCAGTGGTAGCTCAGGGCTAAGCTAAGCGTTCGCTGTAAGTTTCACAGTACGCGAGCAACCCCGGGTTCGATCTCCGCCAGTATCAGTAAAATGTTAATTACAATTTTAAGTGCTGATTTATCACATCCCCGGCGGTGAAAGAAAACTCTTGAGGAAACCGGCATGTCTGACAAATAAGAAAAAAAAAATTCGAAGACATGTGATGTTTGCCAATATAATGTACAATATATGTTCGCAAAAAGTTCGAAGCATTTTAGCTTCGGTTGAAAACTCGCCTGTCAAGCGTGGCAACTAGAGATAAATCATCCCAGATATAAGGGATCCCAATCAAGGGATAAAAAGTACAATATCAACATAGAACAGTGATGTATGAAAATAACTGCATTGGGGCAGCGCGACGGACATTTCCTTGTCTTAAAATCCCCACAGAAATGAGAGGAGGCCTGTACCCAGCAGTGGGATGTATATAGGCTATAACTTTAACTTTAATCATTAAAGTAAAAAATCAAGAGTAGCTTACCAGACGAGATATTGTTCCCAGGTCTCACACACGAATGCGGCGTATTCGGAGCTATAGGTACAGGTGAATGGCCGACACAGGTGGACGTCGCGCAAGTCATTTGTTTAGGATTAGTGGCATTACAACACAGGTATAAGCGTCTTTCCATCCATTGACAGCTTTTTTTTATAGAATTTAGGGTGACCAACGCACATGTAGGTTCCAGTTAGCTGCTTTTTTGCCTAGACATTTCCTTGTAGGTACTACCATGCGTTTCTGTAACCGGTATATTTCTGTTGTCCAATAATAGTGTTTTCACTATTGTGTTCCGGCCTGAATGGTATCCTCTTATCCGACAGAACCAGATTCTGACACCTGTCAAATTTTTTCATTTATATGAAATTTTTAAGAAAATTCAAAGATAAAATTTAACACGAAAACCAAGCTCCAATCCATAAAGTTACATTGTTAAATAATTTATTCTTATTTATACTTTCAGAAAGTACAATTTTTTTAAACTTGTTTTAAAAATAATGTAATAGTAAAATGCGTTTTAAATGTATTTTGTAAAACAATTTATTGTTTTTAAATTAAAAATAAGTCTTGGTTTTTGTAATCTAAAATGTTGTGTAAATATTGCACTACTAATACGGCTAATTCAAAACACATCATATACAATGATTTAGATTGTGCTAATCTGTCGCCCTACTTTTATAAAACATACAATTCCTCCTCGTAAAGCCCTGTTGACGCATAAAGTATAATAATGAAACGCTTATTGACGACCCTTTATTGCAACTAAATATGCTGAGTTACGATGCGAATGGCTATAAAGAAAAAATCGGAGAAAAACAAGCTTATCTGATAAATACATTGCAACTATATTATGGTTGTAGCACGAATGGGTCGGCTCGACCGGGGAAGGACCACGCTCTCAAAGAATACCAGCGTAAAATAACACCCTTATACTGCTGTGTTTCGTATGGCGAGTGTACAGCACCGAAGAACCTTTTTTACTGGAAACGAGGCATTCCATCCTAGTCCTCAGGGGTGACAACGCATCTGCGTTTTGATTCTTAATCGAGGAAAAAGTACATGTCTATGGGCCACAGCATCCACTTACCATCTGGTGGGCTGTGTGCTTGTTTGTCACCCTTATACTATAAAAAAAATATTTCGAGATTACGTGAAGTCGGTCAAAAAGCATTGGAACAGCGCGGCGTATTCCTCTTCAAGAATACTCTTAGAAATGGAAGAAGCCTGCGGACCTGCGGTGTAGAAACAACTGCAGGCTTCTTTTCTATAATATCTTTTTTAATAGAATGTATCACACAGTTCATCAGACCCTTTTTACTGGAAACTGGAATGCCTCATTCCATCGTTGTCCTCAAGGGTGACAGCGCATAGCTGCATTTTGATTCTTAATCGAGAACAAAAGTAGATATCTATTGGCCACAGCCTCCGCTTACTATCGCTCTATAAAAAAAACCGATCTGTCTGACTGAAAGATCTGTTTAGTCTGACAGGTCTGTCTAGGTATTAGCCATCTTTTACCTATTTTACCGCTAGGCAGTTTGAAGAAAGCACAGTATAATTTAAGCTCTACCACATTCCTATGTTAGTCCTCAGCCTCGTAGCCCGTCTCAGTCTGCAGGTCTCCAGTTGCCATATATTACAAGTTAAAATATGAAATTGCCGTTTAATATTGAAATATTGAAAAATTGAAACACGTTTTTCTAAGAAAAATATATATTTATATAATTTTAGTATCTATTTTTTATTTTCTATACATTTCGGCCATCACGAGGGAAGATCATTTTTGACATTGCGATTTAATGCTGCAGATCTAGACTCTATAAAGTCTATATGTTTTTCTTGCTATTATTGTAGTGAATCCACTTTTATCTTACATCCAAATTTTATCTAAAATTCCTTCATTTCTGTTCTCAAGTTCTGTTTTATTTTATCAATTCGGTGTCACAAACTGACCTCAAACTATGACGCTAATTCCATGGTTGTTATGATATGGATCGGATTTGACGATTACTTTAAATTAATCGTGGTTGATTCAAGTCGAAGTTTCCGTTACTAAAGCGATTAAACCAAAAATGCACAGAGCATTTGTGTCGTCGTGTCCTCTCCAATCGTAGCATTTATATTACGAATAGTTTCTGCTGCGTTAGTATCACTTCAAACTGACATTCGAAAATTGCTTTAAATTATGAGGTAGCTGTGTTAACTCAAGTACTAAATGTAAAAACAATCAATAATCAAACAATAGATTTCATACAATTTTTGAATTTAGAATGTTATAGTTTTATATGAAAAATGTTTTTAATTTTATTCCAAATGCCCACTAAAACGGCAATTGCATATATTATTAACCCCTAATAATTATCAAGTATATTGCAAGCTCATAATAATACATATGTCTTTGACGTTATATGCATTTTATCATGTTGTTATTGATATTGTTGTTTCATATTCATAGAACTAATTATCTCTAACTTTTCCATTCGGTTTCATTGTGTCTTTTAATTTAGATAAACTTACTACAAGTAGGCAGTATTTTAATCGACTCATCGTTTCTAGGGGTCAAGAGTCGGCCGGGATCGTGACGTCAGAGGGCAAAAGCGCACGAACTTTCAACGCACACAAAGGGATGGGCCTGATCAACAATATATTTAATGACGAAGCCATGAAGAAGCTAAAAGGGAACCTTGGCATCGGTCACACCAGGCAAGTAGATTTGGTACTTCACAAAACATACTAGGAATATTCACTATCCCTATCATCCTGTGGGTATCGTAAGAGGCGACAGAGGGAAATTGGACTAGAAGATTAGCAGCAGCATCTTACTGACAACAGCTGATTAATACACTGCGGTTTCCAACACACTTGCCCATCATGGCAACTATGGCAAATATCATTCGTATGAGGCATTCTGTTGGGTAGCCCTATGTTCATGTGCAGTGGACTTTAATATGCTGCAAAGGTAATGGTAATGCCAAAGTTTGGAGGTAGACATGTGTCAATCATTCATTTCCCATGACCGAATCATTCTAGTACATTTCGTCACGCGTACCGGTACATTCAGATCGATCATTCAAATGGATAATTTCGGGCTGCAGTACCCTACAATAAAAACAATTCATCCAGATCGTTCGGGATTCGGTCGGTTTTCGGCTCATTCACAATTCACACCAATCACGAGTTAAAAAGGTTCCATCAATTGTTTGTGATTGGTTGTACCGGAGCGTTCAAAAACAGATGAATGAACCATCAATATCTTTAAGTGCTCAAACAAACAAATCATTCATGATTGACACATGTCTATTTGGAGGTTTAAGCGTTTCAATTTATGTAAAAAAATACGGAGGAGACTACAGACCTTCCCTGCACCCTCCCGCTAATTTCAAATGCAAAGCGCTCCAAAGTCCACCTTTTAGAGCTCGAGGACCTCAAAAACGTGATAAAATTTTCAACAGAACGAATGAATTTTGATGCGGTTTGCGGCAATTGATGTTGTTTTGTGAAGTTAGATTTTTGAATTGATCGATACATTAGTTTAAAAGTTATCTCAAAAAACGGTTATTTTAATATTAATGATTACATGACATTACTATTACATTTTAATGAAAATAATACCTGGGCATGATGTGATCGCCATGCTGGTTCTATTAAAATTCATATAAAATTGTACAAAGAAGTGATAATCTATACTGAATAATAATTATCTTATTTTATTCTATTCATGATTTATAATTTTAAAAGAGACTTCGATTCTACTGTGTTTAAAGGAAATGTCCGTGTACATTCAATTTATGAGTTTTTCGATTTCCATATCTCAAAAAAATTATATCGTCTCCAATGAATACCTGATAAATTTTTCATTTCAATCGATTCTTAAGATTTTTTAAACTTCTAATTTTTAATGAGCTTTCATAATGAGGGTAGAGTAATTTTCACGTTAACTTTGTCCTTGTGAAGGTTTTTCTGTTATAAGATAGCAATTTCGATTTTAAATAAATTATTTACAAAGACCTATGTATTGTTTACTTAAGATAGATTTAAGACATTTACAAATGGAACATAAGGTCGCATGAGTTTAGTAAGATAAAACTAGATGATGCAATCTATCTTATAGTTAGATATGAAATAATTGTTGTCAGCTCGTGATTGTTCAGTTTCATTAACATTGTTACAATCGAATTTATTTTAACTTGTAACTTGATATTGCTGTTATCCGTTAATTTAATGGTAATTCCAAATTCAACACGTTTGTTTGTTCGGTAACGCAGTACCTAAGTTTTTTGGCTGTTGGAATCTCATACGAGGGCTGCACTAAAAGTATCGGGAATGGAATATTTCCACTGTTCCTGTCATATTAAAATCTTTTTAATTAAAAACTCCTTTGTTTTAAAAATCGAATACCATTTATTTATTTAAAAAAAAAAGATTCTCGGTCTTGTCACAAGGTTTTGTCAAACTTATTTAGTCGTTGAGAAAATGGAATTGACTCGAGAAAATTCAAGAGCGATGATTTATTACGACTTTCGAAGTGGTTTAACACAAAAACAGTGTGTTGACCGGATGATTTCTGCATTTGGTGATGAACATCCAAACACATTTCCTGTTTCTGAATTTCAACGTGGACATGTCAAGCTCAGTGATGATCCCCGTCAAGGTCGTCCAAAAACTGCAGTCACCCAAGAAAACGTTGATGCTGTGCGTAAGCTGATTGAGGAAGATCGACATGTGACATACCGCGAAATTCAGGCAACTTTAGACATTAGCATGAGTCAAATACAAATAATTGTGCATGAACAATTAGGTGTAAAAAAGTTGTTTTCCCGATGGATACCGCATTCGCTCTGTGAAGAGCAAAAACCAGCTCGCGTTACTTGGTGCGTCTCTCGAAAAATTCCACACAGGAGCCTCAAATGCTGTATACAACATCATATCAGGTGACGAATACTGGATATACGCGTACTAACCTGAAACAAAAAACCAGTCACGAGTTTGGGTGTGCGAAAATGAGTTAAAGCCAACAAAAATTGTTCGTTCACGGAGTGTTGCAAAAAAAAATGGTGGCCACGTTTGTCTCCAAAACCGGCCATGTTACGGCTATTCCTCTTGAGGGACAAAGAACGGTTAATGCACAATGGTATGCTAGCATTTGTTTGCCCCAGATCGTTTCTGAACTCCGTAAAGAGAACTGCAACCGCCGCATCATCCTCCATCACGACAATGCGAGTTCTCATACCGCACACAAACAAAAGAGTTTTTAGAGCAAGAAAACATAGAATTATTAGACCATCCGCCGTACAGCCCCGACCTAACCCCTAATGATTTCTATACTTTCCCAAAAATAAAGAATAAATTGCGTGGACAGAGATTATTATCACCTGAAGAAGCTGTGGACGCCTACAAAACGGCCATTTTGGAGACCCCAACTTCCGAATGGAATGGTTGCTTCAATGATTGGTTCCATCGTATGGAAAAATGTGTCAAATTTCGCGGAGAATACTTCGAAAAGCAATAACTACATTTTTAAATAGTAATGTTGTGTCACTTCCTTGATTCCCGAAATTTTCAGTGCCGCCCTCGTATACGTATGCATCCATCCATTCATTATAACCCATAAAAGGTCACTGCCGAGCATAGGCCTTTCCTTATAGATGGATTAATTTGGGGATTTTGCTGTTTAAATTTTTTTCTGTCGCCTCTTACGACGCTCATGGTGCGATATGCGGTAGTGGATATTCTTTTACCGCCACTATATGGTTAAGTGCTAAGTTAGGTGTTAAGTTTTTATGTGGTAGAGCCACTCTGCAGCTATATTATGCTTGTACCATGAATGGGTCGTCTCGACCGCGGAAAGACCACGCTCTCGCAGAATACCAGCGTAAAATTGGTGATTGTAGAGAACCGGAGACCCGAGCGAATCGAGGCATTCCATCTTAGTCCTCAGGGGTGACAACGCATCTGCATTATGATTCTTAATCGAAGTTAAATGTAGATATCTATGGGCCACAGCATCCACTTACCATCAGGTGGACTGTGTACTCGTTTATCACCCTTATTCTATGAAAAAAATTAAAAAAATGTATGACCTGCAAATAATTAATTGTTTTGGGTTTGTGTTTGATTGTTGTGAAACGGTCACAGTTTGAATTAAACTTTTGTCCAAATATTATTTTCGATAGAACACTTAGCTCAAACTTATTGTTTGTTCAGGTATTCAACGTCAGCAGCGTCGGAGGAGGTGAACTGCCAGCCGTTCGTGGTGCACACGGCGCACGGCGCGCTGGCTGTCGCACACAACGGCGAGCTGGTGAACTGCAGTAGTCTTAGGAAGATGGTGAGTAGAGGAGCACATTCTCGTATTATGTCGTGGACTGGCTAGCTTAGATAATCTCACTAAGTAGTGGGTTCAATTCGTCGGGGTTTTGATTCTTCGATATACTTTTTTAAGCAGTAACTGTAAGCTATTAAATTATGTGTATTAATATATAATAATAATAGGTTGTGGGAAAAAGTTTCTTCGTATTTTGTATTTATAAAATTTTAGAATGGTTGTACTGTTTGTACCTGGTTGGTTTTAATGTCAATACATATAGGATATTAATAAAAAGAAAAATAAAAAGGGGAAAAGGATTTTCCGCCCATCGATATATAATGTACTACGCACTAGATTTCGCATTCCGAACACTCACTATGTTCAACTGAATTGTACTGCAATCCGTACACCTGTTAATGTGGTTTCGATATTCATGCAGTGCGGAGCGACGCTAATAATAATTTTATATTAAATTAGCAGATATGCAAAATAAATGAAAAATAAAATATGTACTCTGATTAACAATACAATCTAAATAAACAATTATTTATTGTGAAAATTTTCACGCGTTTATATCAACTGCGCATGCGCGACTCTACTGTTTGCCGCGCAAGCGCGGATATAGAGTAGTGCACATTTTTGTTTGGAATAGCTTCTCTAGTACGTAGGACATATAACTCAATGTTTCCGCCATTTTTCAATTGTTTTTCTGTCCGCTAAAATGAGTTAATCTAACAAAAAATTTCGATACATTCTGAAGTTTTATTACAAAAAAGGGAAAAATGAGATGCTAGCCGCGAAAAAAATTGTGACGTTTATGGGCCTAATGCAGTGTCTGTAAGAGAAGCACAAAGTTGGTTTAAGTGTTTTCAGTACGGGAATTTTGATGTTAAAGATGCAGCTTGCTCCAGTCGACCTCATACGGACGGATACATTCGATGCCATTAAAAGTGGAGCAAGATCGGCATATTAGTAGATCGTAACTAAACAGAAGGAGTGCATTTATGTTTGCAATGCAGTACTGGGCATTACATTACTTGGCTTGGCAAGCAGGTTGGCAGCTGCAGTCCATGGATATTTGTTTCTTTGGCACGCTCTGAACTCGTTTTGATCCTCGAATGAAATTCAATTTTGCATTACATTTGTCTATAGGTGCTCGGCAGAGGGGTGGGCTTATCAACGCACTCGGATTCGGAGCTAATCACGCAGGCCTTGTGTCTAAATCCACCTGAGGGCGAAACGAATGGACCCGACTGGCCTGCCAGAATCAATAACCTTATGAGGTGATTATTGCCTCTCTAACTTACAGTAATAGATTACATACGTTAAGCTTAAATATTACGTATAAGCTTACTGACACCTGTCGGCCGTGGTAGCTCAAATAGCGCTCGCTGTAAATTTCACAGTACGCGAGCAACCCGGGTTCGATGCCCGCCGGCATCAATGAAATTGTTAATTTCAATTTTTAGTGCTGATTTAACACGTGCTCGGCGGTGAAGGAAAACATCTTGAGGTAACCTCCATGTCTGTGAAATAAAAAAAATATTTCTAAGACATGTGAAGTTCACCAACACGCATTGGGGCGGCGCGGCGGACGCTTCCTTGTTCTAAAACCTTTTCAGAGATTAGAGGAGGCCTGTGCTCAGCAGTGGGACATATATGGCTGTAACTTTAACTTTTAACTTACTGATATAACTTACAATCGTCCCCGGCTTCGCACGGGTGATTTCTGGATATCGACAACAGCGCCACCTATCAGGTCCATCTATAGATAACATCCATCTAGGTGACCCCATAATTACACATAAAATATTTGTCATAATCGGTCAAGCTGTTTGTGAGGAGAAAAATTACGAACACACGCATAACGGAATTTCATATAGAAAAATTAGTACCTACCGTTCAAGAAATGGGAAACGACACGACAGTAGGAAATTCTATAAAGTTCTAAAGCTTCCGGTAGATGGCGTTATTATCATATTTTATTTATTATACTAGATATTATGAAATATCCAAGGCAGGCAAGATAATATAAAAAAGATGGGCTTGTACTATATCAGGACAATGGGCACGCCACTGTATGTATATTTATAAAATGTCTTAATATCATTTGTTAATAGTACCCGGTTGACCGAGCTTTGCTCGGTATTTTCGCTCGTTTTTTTTTAATTCGTTTGTTTTGGAAATTATATTTAGATACAAATTACATACTGATGAAATACGAATAATATTTTTTGATCTTTTAGTTTAATTTAAATTTTCGTGAAAGTAAATTTTTTTAACTTTGGTCCAGGCTGGCTCCTCTAAGTTATTCCCTGGTTATAATGCTGAAAGATAAAATCTACGCCGTTCGGGACCCGTACGGCAACCGGCCGCTGTGTTTGGGCAAGATATTGCCTTTGGGCTCCTCATGTAAGTTTATCAACAATCATTCAAAACTAAGTAATTCATTTGAAATATATACTTAGACAAAAGTTTTTCATTATTTTTTTGAAATAATTATAATTTATAAAAAATAAGGTTTTTCAAACTTTTGTTATGTACATACAGAAATATTTATAATGCAATTTTAGTAAAAACGGTACATAATTTAAATAATTTATACCATAAAATTAATTGGGGTGTTTTATTAAAAAAATTCGTACATGAACATTAATGAATATTTTTAACTTTTTTGCTACTTTGGTTGCAACAAATAAAATCTTTCATTTAAGTTGTGGAAATTAAAGCTGTAAAAATTCTGTAAAACCTCTAATAATTTTCATGTTTCTGAATCTCAAAATATCAGTTAATATTTGTAATGCTTGCACTGTTTATATTTTAAGGCGTACGTAATCTATCCATATCATATATACTAATATACGTGTTATTTAACATCTTCATACAGTCATCATGTAAATAAATTGCGACGGTGTCAGTTTGTAATTTTCGAATGAAAACGTAACTTGCTTTTAATGTTTATATCAAAAATCTTTCTATTAGCCTACCTACATTTGGAATTATATTTCGATTAATTATTATGTAATAATTCATATTTGAAAGGAGAAGAAAAAGACTTAAAGAAGAAGAAGAAAACTCAAGCAGTAACTGTTTAATCGTAAAAACATACATTCTAATTTAATATACTGTATGATAATCATTAAACTACTATAAAATTGTGTTCCCAATCATCACGTTGTTATACTGGTATACATTCGGTTCCCCAACTAAGTTTTCCAGCGGCTTATTAAGTATAATATTGATTAATATTATAAATATTGTTATAAGGTCTTTTTCCGTAAACTATTGTCTTTGACACATATAACCAAATGATAGAATAAATAACGATAATATATCGTGGAAAGAATCGTCAATTCTTTCGTTCTGTGCTCGATTCTATGACAATTCATTTATTTCAAACACGAAAGATTTAGTGGAATTACTGAATGTAATTAGTCGAAATTTGAATCGATTTAAAAAAGTCTGAAGTATGCTTCACATAAAATTTGCTTCAATAAATTTTAAATATAGAAATTCTAGGTCCAACTTAGTTTCATTTAATTATCTCAAAAGAATCTCGATTTGCCTGTATTTCATGCCTTTCACACATAAATTATGTAATTTTTATATGACAATATTTCTGTTTGTTTCATCCCATTAAATCTGCAAACGTTTACAGATGCCTACAAACAGTCTTCGGCGCAGCATGCCGCGGGTAATGCATGATTCATCTCACATTATACTAAAATAAGTTACTCCATTTCCATTCAATCATTATCATAAATGTTAACACAACTAATTATTGTCGTCTTCCATAGGCTAGACATGGCCTGGCTCCAGCAATATAGGCCTCTTTCATAGAATATACCTTGTAGCTCGGCTCGACAGGGGCAGTACCACGCTCTCACAGAATACCAGCGTAAAATAGCAGCTTAATGATGTTGTATTTCGTATGGTGAATGTAGAGACCTGGAGACCGTTTTTACTAGAAACGAGTCATTCAATCTTAGTCCTCAGGGGTGACAACGCATATGAATTTTTATTCTTAATCGAGGATAAATGTAGATGTCTATGGGCCACAGCATCCACTTACCATCCAGTGGACTGTGTGCTCGTTTGTCATCCTCATTCTAAACTTAAAAAAGATTGCAATTTGACATAGGGTGCGTTTGGCAGAAAAAAGCGCTAGCAAGCGCTTGCAAGCGCTGAAATAGTTTTCGGCCAGGACACGATTGCTACTCCAGTAGCGCTGACACAATCCGCCATTTTGCTTATTTAATTTATTTGTATTGAAGTAGAGTTTATAAGTTGTTTTGTGCAATATTAGTTTTAAGTAATATAATGTCATGAATAAACATATTATACATATTATTAATCTTCATAATTGGTAATTTTTTTTTATTAGGTTAGTTTTTTAAATTAGGTTAGGTTCCCCGGTTAAAACTAACTTCGTGTCCTATAAATAGCTACTTACGATTTGACAGCGCTTACCGCTTACGATCGCCATTTTGCTTACAAGCGCTTGCTAGCGCTTTTTTCTGCCAAACGCACCCATAGATGCCACGCTTGGTAACCGAAGTTTTTTATAATTTTGTGTCGTTATCAGGATGACGCTGCTGCCCATCTCCTGGTTTGTCTACCTCTGTCACCTCCTACGACACCCTCGGGATGATATGGGGTAGTGGATATTCTTACACCGCCACTGCAGTTAACTGCTATATTACTATAGTGCTGCTAATTATTGAAGCATTGTTATATACTTTGTACAGAAATGACTTGTATAGCTCTTGCAATTTACGCACTTGATCTTTACTAACATAGTGAAAACGTACCTGTTTACGCGTCAATGTGTGCGTGCGGTCGTTCGTAATTGACCGAACTGTTGTACACGCACACTCAGACAATGTGCACGAACATTAACTGCAAGTAAAATTCACATTTGTCACATCGAGGGTCGGGCCAAAATGATCATTCAACAATATATCCAGAAATTCCCAGTAGCAGCTCGAAATATGGAAGTTCAGAGTGATTCACCCCCGTGCTTCGAAAAGTACGTAAAGCCCTTGGTACTGTATTTTATTTCCTCGGGTCGAATCAGATTGCAGTGCCATCGGAATATGGGGTGTATTATAATCCTGTCTTGTGTTTCCGTTGAAACTGTGGGCGCCGTGACTCAAATTTAGTCTGGAGAACATTACATTAAAGTTCTCTCCCGCTCGCGAATTGCAAAAACCACGTGTGCATACGTATACCTATATAGCATGTGTACAATACTTATCGCCGAGTCATATGAATATCGCAGTTAACTAGCTTAATTAGCCTTTCAGTTAATAGCCAAGTCTTTTTACTAAACGCCGTCGTTCATCTAGAGGCCTGAATGATATTCAGCCGATGCGTCTAATATAACGTTGCGCCTATCTTGTGATATCAGCGACAGTAGATTATGGCGTGCCTGAGGTGGCCTTTCGGCCACCCTCAAGCCGAGTACATTTATATTATATAGCACATAGCGCATAATTAGGCACAGACGAGCGACATTTCATGGCATGGTCACCTCATTAATTTATTTATTAAACGAGACGCTTAAATTACGTTTATCACTAAAAGGCTATTTAAGTTAACTGAAAGGCTATTTAAGTTTAAGCTAGCTGGCTGCGACAGCCTTGCTTGTTAATCATATGTTACTGGTATTCATTTATACTAAACTTCAATGCAATAATTACAGCATTTTGAACATTTACATTATCACATTTATAGAGTTCATAAAATCGATTTATTCACCATGAAGCATTTGCATGAATAAATTATTACTTATTAAAATTTTAATCATAGGGTTAATAAAATTGTTATGTTGTCAGCGATAGTTTAAATTTAAGTTCCATTCATTTTGATATTAGATGAATATTGATTAAGAAATTTCTCCAATCTTTAATTATGTAACAAATTATTAGACTCAGTACCTCTTGGTAGAGATAGAGAGTAATAATGGTCAGTTGTGTGTCAGTAGTATTCATTACAGTGATGTCATTTTTACTATAATATATGCATTGTTTCTTAAGTTACATTATCATTCGAGGAAGAGCTACGCTGCAGCTATATTATGGTTGTAGCACTAATGGGTCGGCTCGACCGGGGTAGGACCACGCTCTCAGAGAGTACCAGCGTAAAATAGCAAGTTAATACTGCTTGTGTTACGTATGGTGAGTGTAGAAATACGGAAACCCTTTTTTACTGGAAACGAGGCATTCCATCTTAGTCCTCATAGATGACAACGCATCTGCGTTTTGATTCTTAACCGAGAATAAAAAAACAATAGCTTATATGGTAAAAAGTGTGATGTAATTTAGAAATTCAATGATAGAGAAAAAATAGACAATGATGGAATTTGTAAGTAAAAATAATACAGGTTAATAGAAAACAAAATACATTAGCAACGAAAATCCATATTTTCGACAAATCTATGGATTATTACGGACTTGTGTCGAAATATAATTAGGCTTAGTTTTCTTAAAACAACACTAAAGTGCTTTAATATGATAACTTTAAACTAACCGCAGGATTGACTATTTTTGTAACTTGTGTTTTAACTGTGATAAAGGCATAATCAAGTCATAATGTTATACTTACAGTTTTGATGAACGGCACTGCAAAGAATGGCGTGGACGACAAGGCTGAGGGTTGGGTTGTGTCGTCAGAGTCCTGTGGATTCCTCTCAATAGGTATTCTTGATCGTAATGTATATGTTATTTTTGTGTAGGTAACGCATATACTGGATGACCTTTTTCACCGTCTGGAAAAAAATAGGGTGTGACATGTGAACGGAGTAGAAACCTATGGCACTGATATTTAAGAAAAATTGAATTAAATAAATAAATAAATAAATTCAAATTATCGAAATTCAAATCATATCCACCCTACTTTATGAACGGCTATAAACAATAAATTTAGTAGGCATCTTTGATCTTGTCACTTCGCAGGGTCACAGGCTCAAGGGCAAAGGGCAAGGTAATTATTCAAAAATTTTTTTCAAACGTTTAATTCAAAATTACTGTTTTTTTTATAAAATATCAGTGCCATAGGCTTCTACTCCGTTTACATGTTACATCCTATTTTTTTCCAGACTGTAGAAAAGGTCATCCAGTATATTACATATATTTAACTATCTTTACAAACCTACCTGATTTGTTTGATTTGACAAATAAATGTGTATTTCTAATAAACATCATTAACTGGTTTGTGTACCGTTACCGATAGATCGCCTCAACACTTGACAGGCGGATGGCAACCGCAATTTTTTTTAATTGTAGTTGTTATTATGGCGGCTGTACACTCTCGACGAGAGCACTCGCCATGCCTCTCGCACGAGAAAGCGCTTTCAGAAGTGTGACGGCGAGGAGATGGACGCATGATTTCGGACAGATGGATTTTTGTGTTTGTGGTAACGATGCGTGGGCTCCCACAAAATAGGTTCACTTTGTTAAATTCAAGAAAATTGAGTTTATTCTCTTGTTTCCACGTGATAAGTTTGTGGTAGTAGGATAACCAAATATACTGCACGCTAAAACGTTTTGCGGTAGACTAAGCGAAGCGCGAGTGTACAGTGACGCACTCGTGTCCACTTGCGAGGGAATGCGAGGCCCTTTGACTCGCGCACCAAAAACCAACACGAGCGCGAGAGCACTCGAGGCGAGGCGAGGGAAGGCAAGGCTCAGCGAAAGTATCCTGTACACTCTCGTCCTCGTCTCGCCTCGTGGGCCCTCGTCGAGAGTGTACAGCCGACATTTGGAAGATGCTCCTGCCCATCTCCTGTTTCAGTTTTCTTTTGTCGCCTTTTACGACACCCATGTGGTGATATGTGGTTGTGGATTCTCTTGCGTCGCCATTACACGGCGCTCATTTATAAAACGTGGTATTATAATACTATTGCTTATAGCCTTATATAGGTTATAGTAAATAAGCGACTGACTGATTGGTTTTAAATGTGAAACTTTAGGTGCGCGTTACGTGCGTGAAGTTCTCCCCGGAGAAATAGTGGAAATGTCCCGGCGCGGGATCCGCACCGTGGCTATTGTAGAGCGACCGGCAGATAAGCAGCAGGCCTTCTGCATTTTCGAGTATGTCTACTTCGCAAGGGCCGACAGTATCTTTGAGGGTGAGTGATTTTTTTTACTCGTTTGTAATCCAGTTGTTGAATGGAATTTCACCTGGTGGTAAGCGGAGGAGCCCTACACGGTAAATCGCACTACCTTAGCACAGTAGAACCCTACTTACTCTTGTCTTGAAGACATTGTAATACACAAGGTTGACACCAGCAAGATAATTAGGATCATGTATAGTGTGATGAAATTGAACATCCTATTTATTATACAATACCATAGGTGTTATTTAAGTACATAATGAATTTAAAAAATGGTACTAAACATCTGCAGAGTTAACTAAATATAGAAAACTATGATAATTTGTTTCATTTATTTTTATAGTTTTGATTGGTGGATTTGATGATTTCTGGGTCCAATAATAAATCTAAACCACTCTCGGATCAACTTAATCACGCAAACAACATTTCATCGAAATTCCAGCCGTCTAGAAGTTCAGTTACATACACGCGGACAAAAGAACTATACATATATAAAGATATAGCGTTAACAAGTGTAGAATGTGATCTTGGTTAACCCCGCAGTATTTCTATCGCTAACCTCTTGTGAAGAACCAAGCGTGGATCTTGTAGCGAATTCTCCCTTATATGTAAGTGGCCCATGGTCAATAGAGGCCTCTTTACGAACTTAATCAATCAATGATAGGCACCTTCCTACACGATGCCGGCTTCTGCATTTATTATTTTTATAAAACTGAAGTGACAAACCTACTTACAGTATATCTGTTAGTAAGTGGTTACTACAGCCCATGGATACCTGCAGACAAGGAAGGCTACACATGCATTTTCACTTCTGAGGACTAAGATGAAATGTCTAACAGTAGACTAATGTTAATCGTGAATGATTCGTTCATTTGACCCGGGTCGCATCAAAGTATTGATGATTGCAATTACATTTTTGAACGTTGCGGATTAAACGATCGACAGGACCCAGACTAAAGAGTATAGTATTGTCCTACGACCGACATTATCGAGCGGGGCTCACAGTTTACAGAGCACTGAAACTCGAAATGATCCATTTGAACGATCGACCTGAATGACCCGGTTCGTAAGACGAATCAATACATGAATGATCGGGTCACTAGAAATGAATGAATGTCACATGTCTACCTCACAGTCTGTAATTATACTCACAAGTGCAAGCACTGCGTTTGACGGTAGAAATAGGAAAGAGGTGATACCTACCCAGTTGGAGTCGTAAGCAAAAAAGGAGTCCGTCCTACTACCAGTAAAATGTGCTCGTATGGTGAATATAGAGAAACAGATATCCCTTTTCCTGGTAACGAAAAATTCTATCTTAGTGCTCAGGGATTATGTACGTTATATTACAGCCTGTAATTACTGGCTCACACTTTTACATTTTTATAGAATAAGGGTGATAAACGAGCACACAGTCACCTGATAGTAAGTGGATGCTATGGTCCATAGACATTTACATATATATACCCTCGATTGAGAATCAAAATGCAGATGCATTGTCACCCATGAGCACTAAGATAGAATCCTTTGTTACTAGTAAAATGCGTCTCAGGTTCTCTACACTCACTATACGAAACGCAGCAGCATTAAACTGCTATTTTACGCTCGTATTGAAAAAAGGCATTATTGATAAGACACGCAAAAAGATCATAACTCAACATGAGCTTGCCTTGAAACCACAACGCTGATATTCAGTAACGACCAAACAACTATCTATATTTCCATCATTTTATCCCGCCATCTATCGGAAGCAATCAGAATTTTCTAGCATATTCTATTTCAAGCCGATAATTGAAGAACGGTACAAAGTCCGATATAAAGGTTGCAGTGTGTTTGATTCGCAGGTCAGATGGTGTATTCGGCGAGGCTGCAGTGTGGACGCATGCTGGCGCGCGAGTCGCCCGTGGACGCGGACATCGTGTCCTCTGTGCCCGAGTCGGGAACCGCGGCCGCACACGGATACGCGAGACAGGTATAGCCCACGCTCACTCATCTTGTCGTGCCACCGTGGAGTGGCGGTGCAAGGAATATTCATTGCCCCATATCATCCCGTGGGTGTCGTAAGAGGCGACAGAGAGAAACAAATCAGGAAACGGGCAGCAGCGTCTTCCTAATGACTTAAAATTAAAAAAAAGGCAGTTGCCAACCCGCTTACCAAGCGTGGCAACAATGGAAAATATCCCCTCTATGTGGCAATCTATGGGGGAGGTCTGTTCAGCGGTGGACTTTAATGGGCTGTAACGGTAACGGTAACCCATCTTGTCAACGTAATACACAACATTCAACCCCATGAGCATGATAAACGAGTGGAATATGTCCCCTGATGGTAAGTAGATACTGTGGACCAATAGACACACATCTATCCTCGACTAAGAATCAAAATGCATTTTCGTATTCATCCTTGAAGATTACGATGAAATGCCTCGTTTCCAGTAAAATGGGTCTCCGGTTATTTGCACTCATCATACTTAACACATGCTGCTATTAAGATGCCATTTCACGCTGGTATTCTGTGAGAGCGTATCCTTCCTCGGTCGAGCTAATTCGTGCTACAACCATAATATAGCTGCAGTGTAGCTATACCAATTAAGTGAATTTAAGGAATGAACTCTCATGTAGAAATTAGTTTTAGTTCAATGCAAAACCTGCTACTCATGATAATTGTCTTTACGGTTTTCTAACTAACATTGGTTTAAATTGAACGTCTTATATTCACGCACACACGCACGCACACACGCACACACGCACGCACACACGCACACATGCACGCACACACGCACACATGCACGCACACACGCACACATGCACGTACACATGCATGCACACACGCACACAAACAGAAAACAACTTTGCATCAAACGTCTTATATTCACCCACGCACACACACACACTCACGCATGCATGCACACACGCACACATGCATGCACTTACGCATACAAATAGAAAACAACAATGACAAAAATAGTGATCGAAAAATAATACTACTGTTAAAAGTGACGTTTACCAAAAAATTTATTGGAAAGAAGTGCATTAACACCATCTAGTTTACTGTGTATAATATAGTATTCTCAAATTATTAAGTGACCGACTATAAAAACATTAAAAAAGTGTTCAATGCAAACCCGGTTTATCCAATATCACCCTCACGCGGAAAAAGTTAGAAGTGTTGTATTCGTGTGTGTTCTTAACCAACCCACATTATAGCTAACTGTTTAAAAGTCATTCATCGACAGTTGTTTACGATTATTAAATTCGCCCACTTACGAGAAAGCTTAGTAAGCGCAGCGGTTAGAGTAGCTGCGCCCTCGCTACGCAACGAAGGCCCTGGTTCTAATCAACGCAGGGGACGGCACCGATCTTCTCGTTGTAGCGGAAAAATATTTTTATTTATTTAGTATAAAAAAAGAAAAAAAATAATTTTATAAGCAAAATGAGTACGCAAAGAACACGCCGTGTACAATGTCTCAAAAAATTGAAAGTGACAGTGACGGGGGCCACCACACATCAGCGCCTGCTTCAAATAACGTAGAAAAAAGGCCTAGCAAACGCCCAGCCGTCTAATCTCCTCCAATTGGGAATTTACGGGAAGGCGCGGACGATGCTACAAACACAGCGCTTCGCAACATAATTGAAGACGTAGTACAGCAGGAAATGAGTAATTTACTGACTAAACTTAACATCTCAATGGGCACTTTGCTCAACACCCAACTTAAATAAATCAAAGATGAAATACAAGACGTAAAAGAGTCAATGTCATTTATTAGTAGTCAGTATGAGGAAGCTAACAAGGAGCTTAAAGCATCAAAACAATCAATACAGGAGTTACAAATAAAGAGTGATAAACTTCAACCCACAATAAACGATATAAATTTTCGTATAAACCAAATAGAACAAGCAGCAAGATCTAACAATCTTGAGATTCAATGCATGCCGGAAAAGAAAAATGAAAGTTTAGTTGAATTAGTATCTCGGTTGGGCTCTATAATTAATTATAAAATATCTGAACAGAACATCCCCCACTGTGCACGTATTGCGAAAGTGAATTGCGAAAGCTCTCGATCTCGTTCAATAGTCGTTCAGCTCGACTCCACTCGTACTCGGGATCACATTCTGGCAGCAACAATAACTTACAACAAGAGCAATCCTCAAAATAAATTGGCAATAGCATTCATTTCGAAATACCTGGAGCAAGAACGCCAATTTTTGTGTCAGAACATCTCTCACCTGCAAACAAGGCCTTACATGCTGCTACAAGAAAAAAAAGCAAACGAGAAAGGCTTCAAGTAAGTATGGGAAAATTTTTGGCAGAAAAAACGATACAGCTGGTTATATTGTTATTAAAAATATGGACACCTTATCTAAATTAGAGTAGTTAAATAGGCTTAATTTTATTTATTTTGTGTGCATGCATTGGTTTTTTTATTTTCATTCGTAGAGCTTCAATTAAATATTTATTATCAGAATACTCGTGGACTGCGAACTAAAACGCATAATTTTTACCGTAATCTGTGCTGTAGCAAATACGATTTAATTATTTTTGATGATAGATACACAGTTTTTCGCAGGGACAGGGAAACCACTGGTTTTCACTATGATAAGAGGGGAGATGGTGTGCTGATTGCTGTCGCTAAAAACTTTAATGCTAGACACATAACTGAGTGGGAAAGTACTTGCGAGGATCTGTGGGTCAAAATTAGCATAGACTCAAACCCCAACTATAATATCACACTTTGCGCAGTATACCTACCACCCCCTGTTAACCATATTATTCTAAACAGATTTACTGAAAATTGTAATTAGATTTTAGAGTACGTAGAAAATAATCTATATCCAATGATTATAGGTGATTTTAATTTAAGCCAAATAGAATGGAGTGAAATAAATAATACATCCTTTGCCACTCAATCAACACTATGTCAGACACTAATTGATTTTGCTTGTATGAATAACTTTAAAGAGTACAATGAAATTCCGAATTCTAAGGGTAAAGTCCTGGATCTAGTGTTTTTGGAGCAATCACATTTATTAGTTCAAGTAGACCGTGCAACTGATGTTTTGTCTGCAATCGATGTGCTGCATCCTCCCTTAGAAATACTTTTAAAATCAAAAAAAAAATATTACAACTTAGCACAAAACTATAACTTCACTAGTCGAATTTTTTTTAGGGCTGACTATGAAATGATTAACCGAAAACTGGTGGAAATCGACTGGTCCCAAGTTTTATTCGGAATAGAAAAGGTAAACATGGTATGGTAACAATATTCTATGATAAACTTAATAAAATCATTAAAGAGTACGTTCCAATAGTAAAAAAAAAACGAAACAAAAAAAAATCTGAAATGGTTTAGCTCTTGTTTGATCAAGGAATTGCATAAAAAAAATAAAATAAGACTTAGATACAAAAACATAACTATCCGTGAGACAAAATAAAATTGAATATTTGTGGAAAAAGATGTGAAAAACTATCATTGGATGCCTACAATTCCTATATAAAACGCACCGAAGAAAATATTGCCATTTATTCCAAATTATTTTGGTCCTATATCAAATCGAAACGTGGCAGTCTGAATTCATATCCGGCCGAGATGACAGATGGTTCTGTAACAACATCTGATGGTCAACATATTTGTGATCTTTTTGCATCGCACTTCTCCTGTGTCTACAGCGAACAGTCTAATCAATCTGGTCAACAGTCACAACCGATCACATATTGCAATGATTTTTTCAGTTCCATTAACCTGACAGAAGAAATGATTTACCAAAGTTTGACCAAGCTGGATAGGTCGAAGGGAGCGGAATATGACGAGATTCCAGCCATTTTTTTTGGTTAATTGTACATCAAATTTAGTCACTCCACACACATTACATATTTAATTTTTCTCTCAAGTCTGGAGTTTTCCCCGAAGTCTCGAAGATGGCTAAAGTTTTGCCAATTTACAAATATGGCGGTGAAAATATAATAGGAAACTACCGACCAATTTCAATCCTCCCAAATTCCCCAAATCCCCTCAAATGGGTAAAGTCATTGATTACACCCCTAATTCAAAATTATTTCAAAAAATTTTTAACAGACCAGCAACACGGATTTACGCGGGGTAGATCGACATCGACAAACTTAGTATGCTTTACCGAAGATCTGATTAAGTCTGTGGACAAGAACTAACAGATTGATGTTATTTACACGGATTTTAGCAAGGCGTTTGATAAAGTATCTCATTGCCTCCTTCTTCGTAAGCTTTTCAGCCTTTGGTGTGCATGGTTCCTTATTGAAATGGTTCAGTTCTTACCTAACTCACAGATCTTTTTTCGTTGTAGTTAATGGTTATTCATCTAAAACCCATAAAATATCATCAGGAGTGCCACAAGGCTCGTACCTTGGCCCTGTTTTGTTTAACATCTTCGTCAATGATGTCTCTGTTAATCTTAATAATATTAAATCTTTTTTATATGCTGACAACCTTAAACTTTTGCGTGAAATCGATTCCATGGATGATCTGAATCTCCTGCAAGCAGACTTGGATAAGTTCACGAGGTGGTGTCACGAAAACAATATGGTCCTCAACGCGAAAAAGTGTACACATATAAAATTTACGCGCAAACAAAATATTACAAATTCGTCATACCAAATCAACGGTATCAAATTACGAGAAGTTGACAGTGTTCGTGATTTGGGCGTGCTGCTAAATAACAAGCTTACATTTATAACACATTTCGACCATATTATAAAAAAAGTTTCCGGAATGCTCGCTTTCATTATACGCAATACAAATATTTTCAAGATCGTTAAGACCAAGATGATTCTTTATAACAGTTTTGTGCGTAGCATTATGGAATACTGCAGTGTTGTTTGGAGGCCCCATTTCGCAACACATACATTACGCTTGGAAAGGGTTCAGAAAAGGTTTCTATGGCACGTAGCATTCTCTGTAGATAAAGCTCGATTGCTTAAATCGTACAAAAGTAGGCTTCTCGCTTTTAAGTTACTGCCACTTGAAGCAAGAAGTGACATTTCGGATTTGATGTTTGTATACAAGCTTTTCCATAATAAGATAGACTGTCCTCCTTTGCTAAATTCCTTTTCCTTCAGAATACCTTCTCGGTTTCCGAGAAAGCCTATTCAGCCTATGAACCCACCAATGCGTAGGACTAAACTTGGTCATTTCTCTCCTGTTCCTAGATTGACTTTACAATGAATGCAGCACATTGGTAGATGTTAATTTTGATTCTTCTGAACATTTTCGTAAGCAGATCAGGGACTTTGTGACAAAAAATGTCTTCTGTAATTTGTTAAAAAACAACTAAAATAGGTTTAATGATTTGTTTTTCACATAGAGGTAACTTATTATTATTAAACGCACGATGTGTTCCCCTATAAGTAGTTATGCGCTTAGTTTAAGACATGTTGGAACTTTTATATTTTTATTCAAATGTATTGTGTTATATCTTTTGGAGAACCGAATAAATAAATAAATAAATGTCGAAATAACTGAGTTGTTGAGCGCAGGGGGCTATTTGTATGATTGAGATCAAGATGTATGAGTACCTAAACATTTTTGAAAACTTTGTCTGTGTGTTTGTCCGGGCTAATGTTCGAAATAGATGAACCAATGCAATGAAACTTCACGAACAGATAGAGAGCAATGCCAGCAGAGATCTACGCTATAGTTTACCGAAAAACAAAACTTAGGAGATTAGGAAAAGTCGAAATTGCGAAAGTTTTTGATGATTGTGTTAATTCTGAATAACACCCCATCAATAAATCGCCAAGTAATAAAATAAATTAAAATTGATTCTAAGATATTTTTGATATACAAAATAATAATAATCTTATGTCAGAGTAATCTATATTTTATTATTTATTATACGTGATATTATTTTTTATACGTTATAGTTGTAACACGAATAGGTCGGCTCGACCGGGGAAGGACCACGCTCTCACAGAATACCAGCGTGAAATAGTAGCTTAATACTGCTGTGTTTCGTATGGCGAGTGTAGAGAACCGGAAACCCTTTTTACTGGAAACGAGGCATTCCATCTTAGTCGTAACGGGTGACAACGAATCTGTATTTTGATTCGTAATCGAGGATAGATGTAGATATCTATGGGCCACAGCAACCACTTACCATCAGGTGGACTGTGTGCTCGTTTGTCCCCCTATCCTAAAAAAAAATAATATGTTAGCAAATGCGAAACTTATAATTTATGTTAGAACCTAAATCTAATTCTTAAATACAAATGCCTTATCAAGTAAATATCGGCGGTAATATTGTTTAAAAATGAGTCATATCTATCAGCAATTATTTCATGATAAAGTTGGAGCTAGCCCGCATCTTGCATAGCAATGTGGCTGTTTTCTTATAATGCCGTAGTAGTCATCCAAAACTGCAAAAGCCTTAACCTCGTCTGCTATAGAAAACTAGATGTGGTTTATTAATAAGCCACTACAATGGCAGTCATACTATCATATAACCAATATCATTGTGATACTGCTTCATCAGCTTATCCATCGGTTTCATTCCAGTCCGGCATCCCGTTCATGGAGGTACTATGCAAGAACCGGTACGTCGGCCGGACCTTCATTCAGCCGTCCACGAGGCTGCGTCAGCTCGGCGTCGCGAAGAAGTTCGGAGCTCTCTCAGAGAATGTGAAGGGGAAGAGGATCGTGCTGATCGACGACTCCATTGTGCGGGGGAACACCATCGGACCGATTATCAAACTGTTGAGGGACGCCGGTGCGGCTGAGGTGAGATTTTTTGGTTTTTTTTTGTACGTTACCCCAGTAAGATTTTCTCCTGTGTGTAGAGGATCATATTAATTGCAAACACCCAGATTCACCCGACTTTTTTTAAAAATTGCATTGCGGCGTCAGCGACGAATTATCTGCAGGCCATACAAATACTTGTTCCTTGCGGAATTCGAACCCGTGGCAAAGCAATGCTGCAATTTTTTTCATTTGGTTTTTTTATACAAAAATGGTGTAAAGAATAAAAATATAATGAATAAGGAATAAAGAGAAAAAAAAATATTTTGGGGCGCAATTTTGCCTTACACGAAACTGGGTCCATATGTTTCTTTACCCTTTTAGATATAAGAGTAGATGGAGACCTAAATAAAGATGGATGGACTAGCGATGTTTTATACGCATCCACTTATCATCATGTGTACATGTCACTCTTACTTCTACAAAAATAACATGTTGTAGGGTAGATGCATATTTAATATCCAAAAATATTCCCAAGCTGCTTTATGTATCACATGCATTTTTAACCTTGATGTACAATGTTGGATATGAAAATGGATGGATATAAGAGTAGGGAGGCAAAAGAAAAAATGGATGGACTGTGTGAGGGACGATTATGAATTACAAATTTTAATGCCGATTAACCGCGTGCTTGGCGGTGAAGGAAAACAAAATCGTAAGGAAATCTCCGTATCTAGTTTGCGCGTTACACAACATAAGACTCATTTTACTATGTATAATTTCGTTACAAAAATTCGTCTCCATTCCGTTCCGCAGCTGTGTAAATTGAGCCTTAGAAGGCCTATGCACGTTCGTGTGGGTAGGTACGACCTTTGTACCTCTTTCTGCCGCCATGATCCGATTTCAAAGTGTAGAGAACCAGTACAATTGCAGGGTGTGAGACATTCCACTTTAGTCCTCGGAGTTGACAACGCATGTGTATACTTTATTTGTTTGAAGTTGTTTGGAGATATCCTTGTACTACAGTAGACACTTACCATCAGGTGGACTGCTGAACGTAGGCCTCGCCCATATATTGCTTTATGGCGGGAATATTTTCCGTAGTTACCACGCTTGGCAACCGCAGTTTTATATTTTTAGTCGATATAAAGAAGACTGCTGCCGAAATGGGCAGCAGGGCTGACAGTGCATCTGCATTTTGATACTTAGTCGAGGATAATAGATGTGTTTATTGGCCCACAGTATTTGCTTACCATCAGGTGGACAAATTCCACTCGTTTATCACGCTCATGGGGTTGAATGTAGTGTATGTTATAACGTGGAAAGATGTATACCGTTACCGTTACAGCCCTTTAAAGTCCACTGCCGAACACTTTTAGTCACTATTTATAGTACTAGTAGTCACTATCAGGTGAGCCGCATGCTCGTTTGCCACCTCTTCTATAAAAAAAACATATATCCTCCCCCATATATTGCCACAAAGGGGGGATATTTGCCGTTGTTGCTACGCTAGGTAAGCGGGTTGGCAACCGCCATTTTTTTATTTTAAGTCTCCTGATATGTTTCCCTCCGTCGCCTCTTACGACACCCACGGGATATGGGTTAGTGGATATTTTTACACCGCCGCTGAACTGTTAGTTAGTCGCTTCAATTTTATATAAAAAAATATTGTATTAATTACAGGTGCACATAAGGATAGCATCACCGCCTTTAAAATACCCGTGCTACATGGGAATCAATATTCCAACGACGGAGGAATTGATTGCCAATAAAATGGATTCCTACAAACTAGCCGAACACGTCGGTAAGTGTATATTTATTTTATCTAAATCTATATCAAACAAATGAAATTCAACAAGACTACGTGGTAGAGCCATGCTGCAGGTATATTATGGTTGTAGCACGAATGGGTCGGCTCGACCGGGGAAGGACCACGCTCTAACAGAATACCAGCCTGAAATAGCAGCACCCTGAAAATGAGGCATTCCATCTTAGTCCTCAGGGATTCTTTTTTTAAGGATGTCTTAAATATTGGCCACAGCATTCACTAATCACCCTTATTCTATAAAAAATTGTCAAGTTGCTTGTAGATTGATTAAGTTTCGTTTTTAACCAGGTGCGGACAGTCTCGAATACCTCAGTGTGGAAGGCTTAGTAAGTGCCGTTCACTACAACATGAAGACCTCACCAAGTGATGGATTGGGTGGTCATTGCACTGCATGTCTCACCGGAGAGTATCCTGGCGGACTTCCTGAAGATATTGACTGGTGAAATTTGTTTAGGTTTGAAGCCATTTAGCTTTAGTGACCTTAACACTTCTTAAAACCACATCATTGAATTACAAATTTTTTATGTGAAAATCACTTAATAATGTCTCTAATCCTTTCAACATTAGTTGGAAGTTGTTTTATTAGTCATTAATTTTTTTTAACAAACTCGTAAAAATTTGACAGCACTTCACTTACATATCAATTAATAAGAAAGTATTAAATATCATGTACAATGTAATTCGAATATAAAGAAAATGTATTATCAAAATTTATGTTAAAAAGGAGTCTGCTTTAAGATAAGTACTTCGTATTTTAAGAAGACTACATGTGTGGACCAAACCAATTTTTGGAATAAAGTAATGTTAGTCAAAAAATAAAATAAATAAATTTTGAAAGTCCAACCACTATTCGCTCCACTTATATCAGCAATTTGTTTAATGTGTTATAACTTTTTTAATTTTAATACATATGTATATTCTCACATTGGTTTACTGGTAGTGAATGCTATAAAGAATTAAGTCCCCCTTTATATCCCTTAATATAAGGTGTATAAAAAACATTAAATAAATAAATAAAATAAAATATTTATACACGCATTTATCTTGCAGGGTTCATTAATGTGGTTGAATTAACATGTCAATATGATATAGAACAAATTTGTTAAGATACGTTAATAGAATTAGCAATGTCGTGCTGGTTTCGATGAATTTAGTGATATACTTATATATAGAATAAGATATAGCAGTAATTTATATTTTGAAGACAATAAACGTGCAGAGAAAAATGCTGCATAAAAACTCCACGTTCACAGTTGAGGAATAAAAATTGCTATACAAATATGCATGCTGTTTTGTGCATATTTTAAATTTTAAGATTAAGTACCAATAGTTTGAAAATGTTCGACACGTATCACTTAGATATTTATTGAAAAGAAAAAGAATAACTATATAGAAAACCAAACCTACCTTCCACTGCTTGAAACTTATTTTTGAAACTTATATTTCACAATTATTTAATTTTCTGAATCTGTACAACAGCGCCACCTACCGGGTCTAAATGTGAATCTAAACCATCCAGGGACTTACTTAAACACACACAAAATTTCATTAAAATCTGTCCAGCCGTTTACGAGTTTTTGCGAGACCAACGGACAGCAATTGATTTGAATGTATAGATATTGTGGTCACAGGACTATGTTAAATCCAATGAAACTTAAAAATATTTCAAGTAGTAAATATAATACACGGTAGGTATTTAGGCGGTAGGACTCCTTTTATTAGGAATCCATTTGGATAATATTTCTGCCGCCAAATTGCGGTGTTTGCACTGCTGTGTTCCGGTCTGGGTATAGAGAGCAAGTATAATTGTTGTGAAGCATTCTGTCTCAATCTTCATGGGTGACAACGTACATGTAGCCTTCTTTTATAGAGTGTAGAAGTAAGAAGTACCAACTCCCATAGGAGAAGAGTTGAAAAAGTGTCCATTTGTAAGCAATAAATAACAGTTCAAAAACTCTCCACTACAGCGCTCGAGTAGCTACGGGGTATGTTGAATCGCCGTAAAATACGAGTGATTTTGAAAATTAAAATTTTGAAAGCAATAAAATATTTATTGTAAAAAGAATTATGGTGAAAATCTGCGAAATAAAAAAATTATAAAAAAGTTCTTTAAAATTTAGACTGTAGCTACATTGCCGCCACCCTTATTTAGCGCTTTCCTACGGACACTTTTTTATACAGAGTCTGTACTCTTTGTGTTAGCTTTGCGACATTGGTGTTTGGCAGAAAAACAACCTTACTAGCGCTAATAGTTCGGCCAGGACACTGCACATTCCAAGAAGTAGAGATAATATGTATTAAAAAATTAAGGGAAAAAAACTTCATAATTGGTAAATTTTTTATTAGTAGCTCGGCTCACGTCCGCAAGCGGGTATCCATTCTCTGCAGTAGTTACTGACTATGAGGCAGTCTGAAGTTCATTTGTCACAAGTTTATTTAAAAAAAAAGTTTGGCTGCAGCCTTATGATATTTTGTAGTTTCTTTCTTTTTCCACTACTTGGTATGGTGAATGTTCTAGACATAAAAGGTACCATTAGCCCGCTAGCTCAGAAAGAACAGCAAACAGTTAATGTCTTTTAGATCATTATCGTTCAATATTGTTTTGTTGTTTAAAAACTTTTTTTCCACATGACAAATGTATTTAATATGTATTCAAAGGTCCGAAAAATGACTATGTAGAAAAAATCATTATAATTTTATATTATTATTTTTATTTAAGGATAGGTTTAAATTGAATAAGTGCCTTATCTCGAATAGAATAGGGATCTGAGGACTGTCCGAGAAATATAATGTTAAACCTCAAATCCCAATATTTTACATACGAGAACATTCTAAAATTTGCAATATGCAATTTCCTATGAAATGACTATGAAATGTACATTCCTATATTTAAAATGTTTAATAACATTATTTTGTTTTAGTCGTAAGTCTCAGTGTAGGAATTTAAATGTAAAAAAAATCTTCCAAATTTTATTAGTAAATATTTTATAAGTGAAACATTGTCATTTTATTTCCCTACTTCGAATAAAATATGTTCAAAATATTACAATTGTTCGAGTGGGTGCTTACAAGTTGCATCGAGGTGGGTCTGATGTTAGTACAGTTGTAAGGCAGCAAGGGTAGAGGACACATTATAGGCTTCGTTGATTGCTAATTTAAAAGTTGGTACATTAGTGCACTCTTACCAATTTTATTTAAAGCTAAGAAAGTTTTCATTAAAATCTATTCCGTAGATTTTTTTAAACAAAGTTACCAAAATTTTATTACTAGACGTTTTGACGGCGAAAAAAAGGGCTTGTAGTTGCTTTAGTTGATTAATGTTTTGTCTATTAAATAATAAATATAACATTTTAAAATGTATCCAAATTGTAATACGAATTCGATACTCTTAAATAAATATCGCATAATTTATCACCTTTAAAAATATCGATAATTTTGTGAGAATTATTCATATTTTGATATTTTTACCCAATGTTGCCAATCGCCCTACAAAGTGTGGCAACTATGGCAAATATCTCTCATTTAGGCAATCTATGGGAGGAGAGCCCATGGTCAGCAGTGGACTTGTGATAGGCTGTAATGTTTATATCACTTACAGCTACATATTTTAATATGGTATGGTAACAAATAAAATATATACGAGTATGTATGCTAAGATGTTAGTGAACGCGATTATAACACGTTAATGTGTGGAACACACCGTCTACCAGATGGTAAATTCCTCTTCAATAAATGGCTACAACGGTCCATGGACACCTGCAGCCAACTTTAAACAAAGAAAGCTACAGACAGTAAAAAAAGAATAGTAGGCTATCTTCTAAAAATGTACCGAACACCGTTAATATGTGTGCGTGCCTGGCAAGTTACAGTACGGACTCTTTACTCACGAGCCACAGCACGCACGCAACGACTTGCTAAGTCGGAAAGTAATATGTGTGCGTGCCTGGCACGTGACAGTACGGACTCGTACTCACGAGCCACAGCACGCACGCAACGATTGCTAAGTCGGAAAGTAATATGTGTGCGTGCCTGGCACGTGACAGTACGAACTCGTACGCACGAGCCACAGTACGCACACAACGACACTTGCTAAGTCGGAAAGTAATATGTGCGCGTGCCTGGCACGTGACAGTACGGACTCGTACGCACGAGCCACAGCACGCACACAACGACACTTGCTAAGTCGGAAAGTAATATGTGTGCGTTCCTGGCACGTGACAGTACGGACTCGTACGCACGACCCACAGCACGCACGCAACGACTTGCTAAGTCGGAAAGTAATATGTGTGCGTGCCTGGCACGTGACAGTACGGACTCGTACGCACGAGCCACAGCACGCACACAACGACACTTGCTAAGTCGGAAAGTAATATGTGCGCGTGCCTGGCACGTGACAGTACGGACTCGTACGCACGAGCCACAGCACGCACACAACGACACTTGCTAAGTCGGAAAGTAATATGTGCGCGTGCCTGGCACGTGACAGTACGGACTCGTACGCACGAGCCACAGCACGCACACAACGACACTTGCTAAGTCGGAAAGTAATATGTGCGCGTGCCTGGCACGTGACAGTACGGACTCGTACGCACGAGCCACAGCACGCACACAGCGACACTTGCTAATTCGGAAAGTAATATGTGCGCGTGCCTGGCACGTGACAGTACGGACTCGTACGCACGAGCCACAGCACGCACACAATGACACTTGCTAAGTCGGAGAGTAATATGTGCGCGTTCCTGGCACGTGACAGTACGGACTCGTACGCACGAGCCACAGCACGCACACAACGACACTTGCTAAGTCGGAAAGTAATATGTGTGCGTGCCTGGCACGTGACAGTACGGACTCGTACGCACGAGCCACAGCACGCACACAACGACACTTGCTAAGTCGGAAAGTAATATGTGCACGTGCCTGGCACGTGACAGTACGGACTCGTACGCACGAGCCACAGCACGCACACAGCGACACTTGCTAAGTCGGAAAGTAATATGTGCGCGTGCCTGGCACGTGACAGTACGGACTCGTACACACGAGCCACAGCACGCACACAACGACACTTACTAAATCCTAAAGATCGGGCCGAGTCGGGAAGGCCCACCACCGCACTCAGAAATCACCTTTGTTTAAGACTGTTGACTTTTAATTAAACTTTGTTAGCAGTCTTTTTTCGTTTCTTTTTTCTCTTTTTGTAAAATAAACTAATATATGCGTTTGTTTAAGTAAATTAGCTTTTTATTTATAGGTTATATTACTATATCTATACATAGATACATACCTCATAAGTACATTAATTATCATATCACATCAGATCAAATTAATTTTAAAGATTAAATCTGAGCTGACACCCTATGCTAAGTGCTAATTTACTCATATTTTAGTTATTTGGCATTTGTTGTAATGTAAAGCTTGATTTTTTTTTTACAAACATTGATTCTTT